AGAGTATACTTATAGTACCGATTTTGCTAGCACAAAAATTCACTGTGGACACTACCAACCTTGCTAGGATTGCCGACTATTTACTTCTGCAGTAGACGATTTTTCGTTCACCGCGAGATCCCACGTTATGCTTGAAATCGACCAAAAAACTGACAAATGGCCAGAGCGATGCAATGACGTCAAAACATTGCGTGGGATTCGACCAACGCGTATTTTGGCACCAGACGTTTGGCCCGCGCCTTACACGTAATACGCAATATCTCGCAGTGAACGGAAAATTACCTATTTTGAGGTCACATAAATCACGTCACATTTATTATAATGGTCATATTGACCTATATAACAAATATGAATACTGATTATGAAATGTGGAACAGAGTAACAATATAGCCGATCACTTGTAATAAAGTAGTGTAACGTACCCTTCTTGTCTTGCAAGGTTGGTAGAATATACTACAAATGGTGTATGAGGAATGCTGAACAATGAAAATAATACCACTTAAATCATCAAGTAATTTAGTTACACATATACAGTGAGTTATTACGTTTAAATTAATCAATCATAGCACGACAAACGTCTGCGACTGGTGTAATCTCCGACACAACATCTCCAAGGCATGGTTCAGGTAATGTGGGAGGTATACATGTCTCAATTACGTTTTTAATACTGACAAAAACTTCCGGACAATCGGAATTTGAATATGTCATAATTTCAGCTGGAGTTGAAACATCGCCCTATATAATATGTATAGTGTTAGCTGTGACGATAAAAGGCATTGTCCAGACTTAACATGAGGTAGGGGGTCATTTCTACATACACTGTAAATCTGTAAAGGTGTTTTAAAATGCGACACATTTTCATCCCACTTAAAAATTTACTTAAAGTGTTTTATAATTAATCACATTAAGTGTTTTTTCTTAAAATCGCAAATGACTTATTTTACAACCCTACTATTTTAAAATAAAACATTTTTACTGTTTTGTGATAAAACATTTAAAGTGTTTATAAGCTTGTCCCCACTTTAAAAACACTTAAAGTGTGCATAGTTTGCATAATTACGAAAGCTATATATGATGAAAACACTTGCAGTGTTTTTATTTCAACACTTCAGGGATGCACTTAACATATTATGTTTCTAATAATAACACGTTTTAAAAAGTGTTTCCAACAGGAACGTGCACTATTATGCTTATTATCACAACACTTTTAAAAATGTTTTCATCTGGGACATGTATAAAAATAATAACAAATAATATCGCATGAAGAAGTGTCCTCGACTTGTGCAGCTGAATAAATGTATTTAAACCTTTCATGGAACTGTGGATGCAATACCCAATAATAGTGAACATTGGCACTTCAGATAAATAATGAACGAACTGAAACGAATAATAACATCTTTTTTTTTGTCTTTTATAATTTTTTTTATTCATATATTTTCCCAAAAAAGTACATTACTTCAAAATAATCTTACATGTCAAAAAGATATACAAAAAGATAATTAACAACATAAAATTTTTTTTTTT